TTCTGCCCGTCTTAAGGAATATAGTTGATGCTAGTTATCCAAGTAATCAAGAGCCAGACCTCAATCATCTATGTGCATGTAAACTCAGAGCTCACAAATCACAAACTTTCTATACTGGTTTCTATGCAGCGCTGGTACAAGTGGTTTTGGCTAGATAGGCAAAGCTACATTTTGCCACTGTTAAGATGAATGTGTTGAATGGTCTAAGTATGCAGAGATTTTGTACGGACACGGTCACTGAATTCAAGGTCTTTATTATAAAGGCAATGTAAATATAATTGAAAAGTCCCAATGCAAAACAGAAGCAGTAAATAAGGCAGAAGCTTGATAAGAAATAAAAAGTTCTTAATATGAAAAGTAAAGTCTTTACCAAAGCGTAGGCACTGGAATAATGATGCGAAGGCTTGATCAAAGCTGGAGCAGGTTTTGCAAGGGTAAACCAAGACTGTAACAGGATTGCAGGGGTTAACCAAGACTGGAACAGGGATGCAAGGGTTAACCAGGACTGTAACATGATTGCAAGGGTTTAAGGGATATCTTTCTATCTAGACAGCCACTAGAGGCTGACTTGGTGCTGCAATGTAAACAACAGTAAGGGTAATAGGGACAGTGTACCAAAACCACTTCAATTAGCTGAAATGGTCCAGGTGCCTACAGTGTCCCTTTAACCAGGACTGGAACTGGTATAAAAATTATTACAACAAAAAAAGAAACCCCCTCCTATTTTCTTCATTCTTAATGTGTTTGGTATACATATGGAATATCAAAAGAAAGCCCTTCCTGTTCTTAAAAAAACAACAACTATATGTAAAAAAAAACACACCTTTTCTTACCCCTAAAATCTGTGACGCATCTACAGCCGTCAAAAAACACCCATTCTAAATAGTTTCTAAATTTTGTCCTGAGTTTAGAAATACCCAATGTTAACATGTTCTTAGCGGGTGTTTTTTTTGCAAGTTATAGGGCAATAAGTACAAGTAGCACTATGCTATTTCCAAACCATTTTCTTTCAATATTAACAAAAGTTACATTGTAACACTGATCCCTGAATAACACTTCATATGTATATATTTTTTAAAAGAAGACAACCTTAGGTATTAAACTTAGGGTATTTTTACTCTTTTCATGCAACCATTTTACCACCAATCTATGCCAAATTAAACAAATAAAAATAATAATTGGTGTTTTTTTGGACACGCATAGCAATTTAAGAATACATGTAATGAGAACTTTAGGGTTATTTGCAAAGAACACCCCAATATGTGTTCAGCAACATCTCCTGAGTGTAGTCATACAACCCATGTATAGGTGTGTCGGGTTTTCTGGGGGCTAAAAGACCTTATTTGGAGGGTGCGCATTCCAGTTTTCCAACTTGGAATTTTCACAGCTGGTCATCATGCACCCATGCCCTATTTGGGACATTTTGAAGCCGACCAATGTAATTTACCCCCGTCAAACCATATATTTTTGAAAAGTAGACCCTCTAGGGTATTTCAAATGGTGGTATTTTAACACTTTTCATGCACTAATTGTACCACCAGTCTTTGTCAAACTTTTGGGTAGTCATTTTTTAGTCATTTCTTTTTTGTTTTATTTTTAGGCATGGATGATCAGTTCCTGTTATGTGTTACTGACAAAAAAAGCACCCCAATATGTGTTCAGCAACATCTCCTGAGTACAACAGTACCCCCAATGTACAGGTTGTATGGGTTTTTGCAAACTTACAGGGGTCAAATGTAGGGCTTTCCCCTTTTCCATGTTTGCACATTTAAATTTGCCAGATTGGTTTGCTGGGCCTATGTTGCCTTTGAGACCGTATGGCAGCCCAGGAATGAAAATTAACCCCATCATGGCATACTGTAGCGGATGGCCATGAGCTGCCCTGGGACTTGTATTATGTGTAACCTGTATTCGTTTAATTGCTAAATGTCTATGCAGTAAGGGAATGTATTCATGTAAAATAGCTACGTTCTATGTATAAAATGTATTGGATTCGTCTGAATGTTAGGTAGTTTCATTCCCTTAGTTTGTTCGAATGAAACTACCGAACAGTCAGACCTCCCCTGTGTGAAGTGTGCCTTCAATTACCCGTTGCAACATTGTTGCGAACGGGTAATTGACAAGCTGTGTAGCAATCCTTTGTTCTCAGGGGTGGCCGCCATACGAGAAACGAACACGTGGCGGCGGCCATCTTAACCTCCCGAACAGCGTTTTTTGCCGTCGAGTGTCTGGAACTAAAAACGGACACTCGATTAGGCGAACACCGCTGAGACCTCCATCAGCCCGGTCCGTTCGGTTCCAAACTACCGAACGGCCCCTTGTTCGGTAGGCATAATCAACCGAACGAGGGGATTCAGGAGAACCCTCCCAAGCCTCTATAGCTGGAGGCTTTCAGGTACTTTATTCGCCTTTTCCAGGACCGACCGCAGGGCCCCATCGCATGGAGCCCAATTCGGCTAGTTCATCCAGCACGGTCGGTCATTTTATTCCCTCCAGGAAATTCCCGAACCCCTGGTCCGATCTGGGTGATTTTTGGATATGTTGTTCACCCAGATCAGGGCTACCAGGGGATGTATAATTTAAAGGGGTACCCCTAGATTTAGGGGTACATCAAGAAACGGGGGGAATTGCTGTACTGGATAAGGGGATTATGATGCCGGCTGAGGGGAGGAGATGTGTGGGAGGTTACCGGGACAGGATTGGCTACTGTATTAATGAATGGAAATCCCTCACTTGCATGGGAGCATGCTATATAAGACACTGGAATAAAGGTTGTCAGTTCTGCTCCTGATGCTGTGTGTCGTCCAGTTATTGGGATTGCTGTGGGGATACTGTTGGATTATTTTGCCTACTGGAAACCTTGCCTGTGGATTTACAATTTACTTGTTCCTGAGCCTCACTTGGATTATACACGGAGATAGCCTGGGGAATATTGTATCTCCGCTACATTGGTGGCAGCGGTGGGATCCAGACTCACAGAGGAACAAGCATAAATGGAGTACGGATGGAGATTGATTTTGCTACGCTAAAACGCTCCACGCTAAAGGACCTCCTGGAGGCAAGGGGTATACAAGCCAGCAACAAGAAGAAAGCGGTACTCATTACTGAACTTATGGCAGAGTACCGAATGGGGGGGGATTCGGGAGAAACACAGGAACAGATGGAGTTCCAGAGGCAGCTACAATTTAGGCTGTCTTTTTATGGGGAACACCCTTCAGCAGAAATTATTTCAAAGACTATGACAGAGGTCCAGGAATTCATCTTAAGGAAAAGGACAACAGCAGCCCCAGAACGCAGCTCTGCAGTAAATGTGCCACAAGAAGTTAAGCCTAAAATACCATACCAGGCTTTTAAACCGTATGTGGAGGCAGAGGAAGATATAGACGCTTTCCTGCAAGATTTTGAGAGGCTGTGTGCCCTGCATAGAATCAGCGCAGAGGACTGGGTACCTATTTTTGGCAGGAAGGTTAACTGGGAGGGCAGCAGAGGCATATCGTACTGTACCCAATGAGGAGATATGGAATTACAGTAAAGTAAAAGAAATTATACTGGCCAGGTATGCTATAACACCAGAAGCATACCGGCAGAGTTTCAGGGATTTGAAGGTGGAAAAAGACTCACACGCAGAGTGGGCATGCAGGTTACAGAGGGCAGCACTCGGGTGGGTGCAAGCTAGCAAGGCACGGTCCATGGAGGATGTAATACAGATGATGCTGATGGAGCAATTTTATGAGGGAGTAACCAATGATGTCCAGGAGTGGGTAAGGGACAGAAACCCTACCTCCCTCACCGAAGCTGCCAGGAAGGCAGATGAGTACCTGGATGCACGCAGGCAGCAAAAATCTGCGGCTCCAAAAGCCACATTTAAAACCTTTGGGGGAACCAGCTACACCCCAGCTCCACCGAGACCACTGCCACCACCACCACCACCCGCTGCACAGCCACATTTCCGCCAGCCCACTTCTGGCCCCTGTCATCACTGCCAGAAATGGGGACATTACAAAAGGCTCAGGAGCTACTATCACCCTGGTAAAGTGTCACCTGATTTCGGATCAGGCTAAGCTAAGTAAAACTGTGGCCGTCAGGGTAGCCGGGGGAGCAGTGTACCGGCTACCTACAGCAAGGGTACATTTGCATTGGGGAGCGGGGTCAGGACACGTGGAGGTGGGGTTGATGCCGCAGTTACCCGCGGAGGTTTTATTGGGGAACGATCTGGGGAGGCTCACGTCTGCTTTTGAGCCCCAGACGCCCACCACAGGAGAAGCTCACCCTGTGGTCACCTGATAACAGGCCCGCACCCAGGACTACAACACGCTCCTGGAGGTTCAGGCAAGAGACCCTTCCCCTTCCCTAGACTGTGTTCCCTGGGCCCCTCCTAACGAATTTGCAGCCGAGGTAGTGACTGACCCCACATTGCAGGTGTATAGGGACAAGGTGACAGCAGACGCTCCCGGGGGAGATGGCGAAAGGTTTATCTGGGACAAACAGCTGTTGTACAGGGAGACGGATAAGCAGATAGCCGGGTCAGACCCGATCGTGATGAGACAGTTGGTGGTACCACAGCGGTACCGAGCAGAGCTACTCCGGATAGCACATGACATTCCGCTATCCGGACATTTAGGGGTCAGCAGGACCCGGCACAGGTTAACACAAAGCTTCTTTTGGCCTGGAGTTAGCCAGGAAGTGCGCAGGTATTGCAACACTTGCGATACATGCCAAAGGGTGGGGAAAAGGGGGGACAGGCGCAAGGCCAAGCTACACCCCCTCCCCATAATTGAGAAACCCTTTAGTAGGGTAGCAGTCGATTTAATAGGACCCCTCAACAAAGCGAGCCCGTCAGGCAAAAGATTTATCCTGACAGTGGTAGACTATGCCACTAGATATCCAGAGGCGGTGGCCCTGACGAATATACATGCTGAAACGGTAGCGGAAGCCCTCATGCAGATATTCTCCCTGGTGGGACTTCCCAGGGAGATTGTCTCGGATCAGGGTACCCAATTCACCGCCGAAGTCACGCAGCGCCTCTGGAAGTTCTGTGACATCAAGCCTGTCATTAGTTCCCCAGACTAATGGGCTCTGCGAACGTTTCAACGGTACATTGAAACAAATGCTCCGAACATTCGCAGAGACCCACAAGGACTGGGAGAAATTCCTGCCTCACCTCCTCTTTGCTTACAGGGAGGTGCCGCAGGAATCCACGGGGTTCTCCCCATTCAAATTATTGTTTGGCCGCAGGGTACGTGGGCCCTTAGATTTAATTAGAGAGCATTGGGAGGGAGAACGGAGCACCGACGGTACTCCCATCATACCATATGTGTTGGCATTCGGAGACCGCCTGGAGGCCCTAACCCAGACAGTACGAGAGAATTTGCATGCGGCTCAGACACGCCAGCGCACATGGTATGATCGGGGCGCCAGGGACCGTAGCTTTCAGGTCGGGCAGAAAGTGTTAATTTTAAAACCTGTCCGACATGATAAGCTGCAGGCCACCTGGCAAGGCCCTTATAAAGTGGTATAACAAAGGTGTGACACCACTTATATAATAGGTTCTTGCGTTGGTACTGGAGGGCGACGCATGCTCCATGTGAACATGATGAAGCCCTACCAGGAGCGCTCCGAGGAAATGACCGCCATATGCGCACCTAACTCGGAGGAATTTGACAGTCTGCCTCTCCCAGATCTGCTGGGAGAGGGTCAGTTATCTGGGGACTTAGGGGAAGTTGCACTGGGAGACCGGCTGAGCCCACAGGAGCGGAGCGAGGTACAACAGCTATTGAGGGAGAAGCGAGATATCTTCTCTAATGTACCTGGTTACACTCCTCTGGCCACTCACCGAGTAGACACTCAACTTCCCATGCGTCAGACCCCGTACCGCATCCCAGAAGCGGTACGGGAAAACATGCGCAACGAGATCGATGAGATGCTCCAACTGGGGATGATTGAACCCTCCGACAGCACCTGGGCTTCTCCTGTAGTGCTAGTACCAAAACAGGACGGAACGACCCGTTTTTGTGTAGACTACCGGAGACTGAATGAGAAGACGGTATCTGATGCTTATCCCATGCCCAGGATAGACGAACTACTGGACCGGATGGCGAGGGGACACTCTCACCACTATTGACTTGTGTAAGGGGTATTGGCAAATCCCCTTAGCACAAGACGCCATCCCTAAGTCGGCCTTTGTCACCCCATTCTGCTTGTACCAATTTAAGGTCATGCCGTTTGGGATGAAAAACACCCCGGCTACATTTCAGCGGATGGTGGACCGCTTCCTGGATGGGTTCCAAGATTATACCTGTGCTTACCTCGATGATATTGCCATCTGCAGCAATACCTGGCAGGAACACTTGGCCCATATAGGAGCGGTCCTGGACAGGATTAGGGCCACTGGTATAACGCTGAAACCAGCCAAATGCAGCATAGGAATGGCCGAAGTACAATACCTCGGCCATCGGGTAGGATGTGGCAAGCAGAAGCCAGAACCAGAGGCTGTAGCCCAATGGCCTACCCCTAGGACTAAGACTCAAGTATTAGCATTCCTAGGAACGGCCGGGTACTACCGGAAATTTGTCCCGAACTATAGTGCCCTGGCCAAACCCCTCACTGACTTAACCCGTAAGAACCTTCCCCGCCAAGTGACCTGGACCCCGGAGTGTGAGCAGGCATTTCAACTGTTGAAAGATGCATTGACCAATGCCCCTGTCTTGGCAGCTCCCAATCCAACTAAACGTTTTCTTGTTCACAAAGACGCTTCTATGTTTGGATTGGGAGCAGTACTGAGCCAAGTCGGGGCCGATGGCGGAGAACATCCCGTGGCTTACATCAGCCGCAAGCTGTTACCCCTAGAAGTAAGCTACGCTGCCATTGAGAAGGAATGCCTGGCTGTGGTGTGGGCCCTGAAGAAATTACAGCCGTATTTGTATGGGCAAGCTTTTTCCCTGCTCACGGATCACAACCCGTTGGTATGGCTAAACCGGGTGGCTGGGGACAATGCCAGGCTGCTGCGCTGGAGTTTGGCGCTGCAGCCCTTTGACTTTAATATCCAGTACCGCCCGGGTAAACAGAATGGAAATGCTGACGGGTTGTCAAGACAAACCGACCTGGAGAAATGATCTGTGAGCCTCCCCGACATCCCCAAGCCGATCCGTATTGGATCAGACTGTGTATGCCGGCTTGTGGGCAAGGGGGAGCAGTGTAGCGGATGGCCATGAGCTGCCCTGGGACTTGTATTATGTGTAACCTGTATTCGTTTAATTGCTAAATGTCTATGCAGTAAGATAAAATAGCTAAGTTCTATGTGTAAAATGTATTGGATTCGTCTGAATGTTAGGTAGTTTCATTCCCTTAGTTTGTTCGAATGAAACTACCGAACAGTCAGACCTCCCCTGTGTGAAGTGTGCCTTCAATTACCCGTTGCAACATTGTTGCGAACGGGTAATTGACAAGCTGTGTAGCAATCCTTTGTTCTCAGGGGTGGCCGCCATACGAGAAACGAACACGTGGCGGCGGCCATCTTAACCTCCCGAACAGCGTTTTTTTGCCGTCGAGTGTCTGGAACTAAAAACGGACACTCGATTAGGCGAACACCGCTGAGACCTCCATCAGCCCGGTCCGTTCGGTTCCAAACTACCGAACGGCCCCTTGTTCGGTAGGCATAATCAACCGAACGAGGGGATTCAGGAGAACCCTCCCAAGCCTCTATAGCTGGAGGCTTTCAGGTACTTTATTCGCCTTTTCCAGGACCGACCGCAGGGCCCCATCGCATGGAGCCCAATTCGGCTAGTTCATCCAGCACGGTCGGTCATTTTATTCCCTCCAGGAAATTCCCGAACCCCTGGTCCGATCTGGGTGATTTTTGGATATGTTGTTCACCCAGATCAGGGCTACCAGGGGATGTATAATCTAAAGGGGTACCCCTAGATTTAGGGGTACATCCAGAAACGGGGGGAATTGTTGTACTGGATAAGGGGATTATGATGCCGGCTGAGGGGAGGAGATGTGTGGGAGGTTACCGGGACAGGATTGGCTACTGTATTAATGAATGGAAATCCCTCCCTTGCATGGGAGCATGCTATATAAGACACTGTGGAATAAAGGTTGTCAGTTCTGCTCCTTATGCTGTGTGTCGTCCAGTTATTGGGATTGCTGTGGGGATACTGTTGGATTATTTTGCCTACTGGAAACCTTGCCTGTGGATTTACAATTTACTTGTTCTTGAGCCTCACTTGGATTATACGCGGAGATAGCCTGGGGAATATTGTATCTCCGCTACACATACCATTTGTAAAAGTAGACAACCCACGGTATTCAAAATAGGGTATGTCCAGTATTTTTTTAGTATCTACTTGGTCACAAAGCCTGGCCAAAATTAGCATTTATATTTGTTTTGTTTTTTTAATTTTTCGCACTTAAACTGCCATTTCACTGATGATATTATCAGTATAATACATTTTACTGCTCTTCATCAAAGAGGATGTAATCAGGCTTGATATCTCTATGGATAAAAAACAATCACTGATTAATATTTTGGTGAAATTATTATTTTTATTTTTTTCAGAAAGAAAAATAGTAATAGTAATAGATCAATGTTGATCCAACCAAACAAATCATTAAAAGTGAAACATTGATTGGGGAATATGATGAGAAGAGATGGGATACAGCACAGGGGAGATGATGAGTGAGACAGAGCAGAAGCAAAGTAAGTAAGTAAGAAAGAAGCAAAGAGATGGACGAATAATAGATGAAGGTTGTGCAACAGAAATAAATTAGATGAATAGAATAGACACTCATATTTGTGTAGAGTAATGTCTCACGAGTACAACAGTACATATATATATATATATATATATATATATACACACTGAACAAAATTATAAACGCAACACTTTTGTTTTTGCCCCCTTTTTTCATGAGCTGAACTCAAAGATCTAAGACTTTTTTTATTTACACAAAAGACCTATTTCTCTCAAATATTGTTCACAAATCTGTCTAAATCTGTGTTAGTGAGCACTTCTCCTTTGCCGAGATAATCCATCCACCTGCCATGTGTGGAATATCAAAATGCTGATTAGACAGCATGATTATTGCACAGGTGTGCCTTAGGCTGACCACAATAAAAGGCCACTCTAAAATGTGCAGTTTTATCACACAGCACAATGCCACATAAGTCGCAAGTTTTGAGGGAGCGTGCAATGGGCATGCTGATGGCAGGAATGTCCACCAGAGCTTTTGCCCGAGAATTGAATGTTCATTTCTCTACCATAAGCCGTCTCCAAAGGCATTCCAGAGAATTTGGCAGTACATCCAACCAGCCTCACAACCGCAGACCACGTGTAACCACACCAGCACAGGACCTCCACATCCAGCATCTTCACCTTCAAGATCGTCTGAGACCAGCCACCCGGACACCTGCTGCAACAATCAGTTTGCATAACCAAAGAATTTCTGCACAAAGTGGCCCATGGTGGCTGTGAGGTTATGGTATGGGCAGGCGTATGTTATGGTAGCATAATCCAGAACCACCAATATATACTGATGCCCCCTTGCAGACTTTACCAGAGGACCCACCAAGTCCATTGCAATCCTCTCAAAAGGTATTTCTATTATAGGCAATGGTACCAGAGGACTGCGATATGCCTTAAAAGGGCCGGTGTGTTGGCATTCAGGACAAGAAGAACAATAATTTGCAACTGAAGCCAATACCCCAGGCCAGTAAAACCTCTGTAAGACTCTGTCTCTTGTTTTTTCTATGCCTAAATGTCCCCCCGGTATATGGCTGTGTGCAAGATTTAGGACTGTATGTGTGAAGGGCTTAGGAACAAGTAGTTGTTTTACAACATCCATCCCCTTTTTCTCTACTCTATAGAACAAATCATTCTGTACCTCACAATAAGGAAAAGAAGGGTCTCTATCTAGTTGTACTGGATCATCAGTTGAAACCTGGATATTTTTACGGGCCTCTGCAAGAGTGGGGTCTTCCCATTGCGCTTTCCTGAAGTTAACAGGACTGACTTCTAATTCAGGGAAGTTAATGCCTTGATCCTGATCGTTATCGGTCTCCTGACTATCGTTGCCCTGGTCATCTCCTACTAAAGCTGGCCTGTGACTTGAGGCTTTAGCCTTCTTTGGTCTTATGCCTAGTCCTTCCCATTCTATGTCAGAAAAAGGGAACACATTTCTAGAATCATCATTTGCTATACAATCATGAACTATTTTTCCTGTAGACCCCCACAAGTCTAAAAATTGGGGAAAATCTCTTCCCAATACCACATCATAAGCCAATTTATCCACTACACCCACTCTATGATTAACAGTACCGAAAAGGCTTTCAAATTTTAGCAAAGCTGTAGGATATTCACGTTTGTCACCATGAACACAAATTATACCAATTTTCTGAAATGCATCAACATCGGCTTCAGGTACAAGGCATTTTGTTATCAATGTCGCCATACTTCCGGAGTCTAATAGAGCTCTAACCTCTTTCCCATTCACCCTTATGGAACATATCTGTGGATTGTGACTACAGTTGGCAACAGCAGATTCCATACAATTCAGCAAACAAGACAATTGTACATCCTGACTAATCATATTGCATTGCATCGGTTCATCAATCAAGGGACAGTCTCTAGCTTTATGTCCAGGTTCATTACACCGGAAACATTTCATATTATCAACTGTCCCCCACCTAGACCCTTTTCCAGGATTAACATTTCTAGGCATAAGCGTATGGGGTCCCTGAGAATATGTCTCTTGTTCCTCTGTGTCTCTGAAACCTTGAAAAATCTTACCAGGTCTTTCAGGAGCTAGAGTCTTAACTCTCTGCTTAGTCTTTGTGTTATTGAGCCACTGTCTGTCATCTGCAGCCACATATCTTTCCACCAAAGCAATTAACTCATCAGCTGTTTGTGGATCACTCTGACTGACCCATCGTCGCAGTGAAGCAGGCAAGCCCCGCAGGAATCTGTCCATCACAAGAAGTTCCATGATATGGCTTGCCGTATTTATTTCTGGTTGTAACCACTTTCTAGCCAGATGTATCAGGTCAAACATCTGGGAGCGGATAGGCTTCTCTTGGTTGAAAGTCCAGGCATGAAATCTTTGGGCACGAACTGCCATAGTCACACCAAGTTGTGCAAGGATCTCAGCCTTCAATTTGGACTAGACCCCTGCCTGTGCTGGTTCCAGGTCATAGAAAGCCTTCTGGGGTTCTCCAATAAGAAAAGGTGCCAGTATGCTTGCCCACTCACTCACCGGCCACTCTTCTCTCTCAGCTGTCCTCTCAAAAGCTAGCAGGTATGCTTCCACATCATCTGTAGGTGTCATCTTCTGCAGGTAACGGCTGGCTCTGATCATTTTAACCTCGGACTGCGTCCCATCCGAGACTCTGGTCAGTCCCTTGGCCAAAGCCTGTATCTCCTTCTGTATCATACCGGTGGCCTGATGTTGCTCCTCTCTGAGCAGGCGGTTTGCCTCCACTTGGGCTGCCATAACCTGCTGGATCATAGCATCTGTGTTGGCCTTTTGCGTAATTACCAGTTGCTGTAGGGCCGTAATATTTTCCTGTTGTGCAGCTGTGGCCTCCTGCTGTACGGCTGTAGCCTTTTGCTGCGCCGCTGTAGTTTGCAACAAAACTTTCACAATTTCCTCCATATTTCTCCAGGCTTGTTTGGCTTTCAGTTAATACCCACAGGCTTCTTTAGTGCAGTGCCCGCATTCTCCACCATATGTGACAAACTTACTTTCCTGTGTGTGTTTGTCCAGGATCTTTTGGCAACCGCACAGCCCTCTAGGGTAAGAAAACCAGGTCAAGACAAAGTCCAGTTTCAAAAAAGGCCTTTGGCCTGTTTATTTTCTGTTGTTGTGAAGTAACAGGATACAATGAACATCAAATCTTCTTTCTCCACAAAACACCTTCTTTCTCCTCCAAAACACTTTCCTCACTTCACCCTGCTTTAACTGCAGTTATATAGCTGCTCACAGCCCCTACAGGTGAGGCTAATGACCTCGTTAGGCAGTGAGCCAGAACTCTATGGAAAACCTGGGCTGGACTCATGCACAACCACTCTGACAGTGGGTGGAGAATCGGCCCACCCTGCTCTTCCGAATACTCCACCCCAGGGACTCAAATAACAACAGAGGAAAAAACCTACATTTAAACTTAACTTTCCCTGGGGCTGCATGTGCTTACCCACATGTCAGGATAGTGGCTGTGCAAAAGTCTGGGTGCCAGATATACACCCCTGACCACCATCCCCAACACTCTGTTACAATATATATATATATATATATATATATATATATATACATACACACACACGTTTTTAGTTTGTATATATGTATAATATATTATAAAATAATTAAAGTATTTCAATATATATTTTATATAAATATAATGCATATATATCATTACATTATAAGTGTATTTTGAGATATATGTGTATATATCTCAAAGTACACTTATAATGCAATCATATATATGCATTATATATGTATAATATATTAAAGATGCTTTAGCTATTTTATAATATATTATACAAATATAATATATGTGTAATATATTAATTTTATTATTTTATTTGTTTTTAAAACGTTTTAGCTGTCTGGGGAACTGCCTGACAGCTCAGACAGTCCCCATGCTGGCAGCTCCATAAACTGCTATTGCGGCCATGTGATCATGGTGATCACATGGCCCTGGAGGGCCGCAGTAGACAGAGCTGCTGCAGGGGGACTGCCCAAGACCCCAGCAGTCCCCCTGCAGCAGCTCTGTCCACCGTGGCCCTCCAGGGCCATGTGATCAACCAAACAAATCATTAAAAGTAAAACATTGATTGGGGAATATGATGAGAAGAGATGGGATACAGCACAGAGGAGATGATGAGTGAGACAGAGCAGAAGCAAAGTAAGTAAGGAAGAAGCAAAGAGATGGAAGAATAATAGCTGAAGGTTGTGGAACAGAGAAATAAATGAGACGAGTAGAATAGACAGAAAATGAAATGAATGGACTAACCGATGTATGATGCCATGTCTATGCAGGAACTCAATACCACATATCAATTCTGCAGAGTAATACCTGATGGAAATTACAAAAAAAACAGAAAGCCTTGAATGGAATACAACCTGAATGGCAAGGAAACGTTATTCTAATGTATCCTATCTTGTTTATTCATTAAGCAGGGGCTTGTAGACAATTGACACAGGAATTGCAATAATTAGCAAGCATAACTGATTTTGTGACTTATTTCTTTAAAATTTAATTCCATCACATTTTTATTCACCCACAATTTCCAGTTCAATAATTTTAAAGTCTGGAGTGATATGATTTGCAGGATGAGGTGCAAAGGGCATGTGGTTACCCTGTTTCTATTGCCATTATTAAGTATCCAAACCCAAATTTCTATCACTGTTACTCACATTGCCTCATACGTATCCATGGGGCGTTTCTTTTTCAGGTAGGATGACAGGCTGCCACCACACATATAGGGCATCACCAAGAAAGCATGTTTCTGATTCAGAGAAGAGAGACACACTATGTTAATGGAACATGAAGATTAGCACAGCAGTAAATACACAGAGTGCTCTACAGAGAACATGGTAAGGTTTGGAGGCAAAAACATTTCTGTGTATTGATGGAGTCTAATGGTAATTTTTTTACCTGCGTTTGAAAGGATTCTTTCACTGCATTTTTCCTCAACACCTTAACAGCCACTTGCTCTTTGCTCCTGTATGATGCCAGCATGACCTGAGAGAAGCAGGAGTGGAGATATCATACCACAGCCCACTACATGAACCCTCAACTGACCTAATCATTATATATTAACCATGTCTATCTAGTAGAACATCAATTAGAGAATGGAGCTAGAACCAGACTGTTAGTTTACTTACTATGCGTTAAATACGGAGCAAAGTCTACTGTGTTCTCCATTAAAAAAAAATATATTTTAAAGAAACTCAGAAACTCCAAACCAGATCTGTAACCCTTTTTCGTAAAAGAAAGGCTGCATAACACTTAAAAAGCACAGTATGATACTCACTTTTGATTGCATTTGTGCTTACAGCAAATACTAATTGCCAATGCTCATGGAATAACCAGAATATGGCTAAACTGGATCTGCCCATACTGGTCCTTCAATTGTTCACTATGAAATATTTGATGTAATGATATGTTTGTTTACTTACCAAAATAGTATTGTGGGCTTTTTTCAGATAAAAGAAATATAAGTTCAGATAATTAGTTGATTTGTAGAAAGAAACCAATTATTTATAAGCAATCATGTTACAAAGGTCTACGGTGGGCAAAATGACACTGTGTAATATTGGGTTTGTTATAGAGCAACTATACCCACAAACCTATAGTAATATTGTATGGTTGGGCTATATAATATGCATTTAAATGTGTTAGGCTTTTCCACTACTTATTAGAAACATTAGATTTCCATACAAAGATGACATGTCACTCACCTTTCCAAATCCACCTCTGCCAATTTTACGGATAAATGTGAAGTCCAATGGGGACAGGGAGGCTTCTTGATTCTGTATAATGGAGTTCAGTTTTCCTCTCTTCCTCCTGCCTTCTTTTACATCCTTCCCTTCCTTTCGTTTTTCTCCAATATGACTCCTATCCTGATTATTGGTGGATTTGGTAGTATCATTTTTGCTCTTTTATCATACTCCTCATATTTCTTGCTGCTTTCAAGGATGCATTTGTCCATAACTTTGTTTTGCTCTCTTATTTTTCTCCTGCTCTATGCTACTTTCCAACTTTTCTTTTTTGCTCAAAGGAGGATCTTTATATTTGATCTCTTCCTTCTTTGCAATAAAGTTTTTAAATATATATTCCACAGCCATCCATATCATGACGACAACCATGTTTGCTTCTCAATAAACATAAAGAAAACATAAAAAGGGCTATAATAACAATAAAAGATAAGAAAATAAGAAGAGGCAATTTTCCATCCATAAATATGTAATCTAACAAAACAATTGTTCATAAATTAAAAAAGTAGAACAAGATAAATGTATATACATTAATCTATGATAAGGTGTAGCAACATTTAATTAATGACATGATTGTTAATCTCTATGATGAAAAATTAAGGTCTATAAAATGTCTAATTTACAGAGCCTATGCTTTTTTTTTTTTTTTAACCTTTTCTTCCCATAAATTCCAATGGTACTTAAGTTGGTCTAATTAATAGAAGAGAGGGCTGCCTATGGGCCATTTCGAACCTTTATTTTCTAGTGTTAAGTTACAGAATACTTTAACAGAAGTATTACTGGGTGACTTTCAGTAGCGAGGTATAGATGATGTAGCAGCTATCAGGATGTGGCCTATCATGATTTTATTGACTTTATTGGTGGTTTCTGGAGAAAAAAAAATCTAACTTAATTCTGATGGCAAAACTATAATTAATGGATCTATTTTCTTAATCAATGAATGTAAACCAAATATTTAATATATTTCTTTCCCCTGAATTTTAGAGTTTATTTCACTACTAACTCCTTGAAAACAGTCAGGTTTTCCTTGTATGTATTTGTATTGTTCTACAATATCCACCAATAAATATATAGTAAACCAAGTAACATTGGTTGAAAAAAAAATTAAGCTTTTACGCATGTTTGTTTCTATTCCAAAATAAAGCAAATACCCAAACAAGGGATGTCTAATTGTGCCATCAAACTCTTGACTCTGTAGTAGCATTCTGGCTTCTCCTTGGATCAAGAAGTTTTTAATATCAGTTCTCATACATTTTACTGCCCTTTACAGCTGCTGAATAACAATGCACATTGTACATAGTCTATTTTTTTTTACAATTTTTGTAAAGGCCTTCTCATATAATGTTATCCCAAACTACAGGCAAACCTAAGTTACTTGTCATCCGTAGCAGCTAGTTTGTTTTAGGGTTATTTAGAATGCCTCTTGTGAATGAATAACATGGGGTCACTGGCCAGCAGACTTTGGGAAACATACCTTTTTCTGGGAAGATATGATGTTCCATTGATTAAACATGTAGTTTTCTGATTGCAAGTTTTTAGGCATCTTTGTACAATTAGGAGTTAACATTTAGTATATCTTCTGGGAGTACACTCTCTATGTAAGTACAGCTCAGTAATAATATATTTTTGGCCAATATCAGAATTATTTGCATCATTCAGGCATTAGCCAGCACGGACATGATTTAATGAAGAATTTAGAAAATCCTAACCATTCTTCCTTTCATTTTTTTTTCTTGATGAAAATCATGGCATCATTTTATTTCCCGAAAAAAAGAAAAAAAACCCGGAACATACATTTCTCAGTAGTGATGCTGCTGTAACTCAAAAATATATACAATATACAGATTAAGGAACAGTGCACACAAAAATATTGTTTTCAAATTTTACACGACTAAAATCATCTATCTTAGCAATCAAATATGGGGATTCAGTTCCACCATGTGGAGGTGACCACAGGAAAGCATACATTTGAGGAGAGTCTCTTGAAGCAGTAAGTATTGCAGTTAGCCTTGTTATATTTTAAAATTAGTTTAGTACCCACCGATATTGGGGTACTGTGGGCTTAACACGACATAGCCATATAGTGTAACTGAATCCTCATATTTGTATATTTCTTTACCTTACTGCACTGTTAGGCATGCATGGCAGCTACATATTTCAGTGACACTGGCAAAAGGACACCTGTGCCTCCGCAGCTGCTGGGAGATCAGGACATATTACCCCCAGTAAGTGAACCCACCCACTGAGAAATGGCCCCTTCTACACATGAAATAAATACTGCACACAACAAAGATGCAGATAATAATATACCGGTGTGTGTGTATATATATATCTCCAAAAAGGGCTTTCATTAGGATTTTATTTATATGTATGTATATATATATATATATATATATTTATTTATATTGTATTGGAATAAACAGATATTGTTAAAGAAGGATCCAGCTGTTGCAGTTCAGTTCTAGCAGTTGGTGCACAGTCATGAGACACAGAAAACGAACTAACTTGTAACACAGAAG